GACAGAAGCAGCGCATTTCGCTCGCTCGCGCAATCTACTCGAACTCTAAGCATTTGCTGCTCGACGATTGTCTCAGCGCTGTCGACTCTCACACCGCCCAGTGGATTTTCAACAACTGTATCATGGGTCCCATGATGCGCTATCGGACATGCATTCTAGTATCGCACAACATCCCGCTGTGCGTACCCTCCTCAGACTACGTTGTCATGCTGAACAATGGGCGAGTGGCGACCCAGGGTCCTACCCAGGAAGTCATCGCCTCTGGCAAACTCGGCGACGATGTTCTTCCTAAGTCTAAGCCCGGCTCTGGTCATGTATCTCGCGTCCCCTCGCGTGTTCCCTCCAGCATCGGAGAGGAAAGCGGCAATACTCTTATCAACGAGGCGGATGGCAGCGACCAGCAGACCAAGGCTCAGACCGTCAAAAAGGAGTCCAAGAAGCAAAATGCAATGGAAGAGACCAAGGCTATTGGCTCGGTCAAGTGGCCTGTTATGAAGCTTTACTTGGGATCCATGGGCTCATGGTGGTTCTGGATCGTTGCCTTCTTTGTCTTTGGGGCTCAGCAGCTCAGCGGAGTTGCCTCCAGCATCTGGATCAAGGAGTGGGCCAATCAATATGCCACTGAGGAGGTCAAGGGTGTTGAGTTTAACATGAACTCGCAAAGCTATGCTGCCCAGTCCTTTTCGCCAACTTACTTCGCGGCAGTTGCCAACTACGGAAACACCAACGAGACGTCTGCTTTTCCCACTACGATTAAGACGGCTCCTGAGGTTAACGCTACATATTACTTGGTTGGCTTGGCTATGATCGGCCTAGCTGGTGCACTTGCGGCTCTGACCAGAGATTTGTGGATCTTCTTTGGGTCGCTTACGGCTTCATGGAAGCTCCATAATCGTCTGATGAGTGCTGTCTCTGGCGCGCGATTCAAGTTCTTTGATGTCAAGCCATTGGGACAGATTATGAACCGATTCAGCAAAGATTTGGAGGCTGTCGACCAGGAAGTGGCCCCTGTCGCCATCGGCGTCATGAGTTGCGGTCTGGGCATCATCGTCACTGTTGTGCTTATCGCTTATATTACGCCTGGATTCCTGATTGCGGGTGTATTCATTACTGCTGCTTACGTCTTCTTGGGACAGTTTTATCTGCACGCCTCGCGGGATCTGAACCGGCTGGAGTCGATCCAACGCAGCCCGCTCTTCCAGCAGTTTGGCGAGACTCTGAGCGGTGTTACTACCATTCGGGCGTACAGCGATGAGAGGAGATTTGTCCGGGACAACTTAACAAGGATCAATACCCAACTGCGACCCTTCATTTTCTTGTGGGCCGCTAACAGATGGCTCGCATTCCGGACGGATCTTCTAGGAGACCTGGTCGCCTTTACTGCTGGAGTGTTTGTTATTGTCAGCCTCGGCAAAATTGACCCGGGTTCAGCTGGTATCTCGTTAAGTTATGCGATTGGATTTGCCGACAATATGCTGTGGCTAGTCCGTCTGTATGCAATGAATGAGCAGAACATGAACTCGGTCGAGCGTATCAAGGAGTACCTGGATGTGGAGCAGGAAGCAGCCGCGATTGTGGAGGATAACCGGCCCCCGCGAACTGGCCGTCCAAGGGCTCGGTTGAGTTTATCAATTACACGACCAGGTACCGCAAGGAGCTGGACCCTGTGCTGAAGAATCTTAGCTTCAAGATTGGGGCACAGGAGAAGGTTGGTATTGTGGGCAGGACGGGGGCGGGCAAGAGCTCTCTTGCACTAGCAATCTTCCGGGCTTTGGAGGCGGACGAAGGCAAGATCTTGCTGGATGATATTGATATTGGGTTGATTGGGCTAAGGGATCTGCGCGAGGCCATTACAATTGTGCCGCAGGAGCCGACGTTGTTCATGGGCACGATTCGAAATAACCTCGACCCATTCAATCTTTATACGGATGAAGACATCTTCGCGGCGCTGCGCAGGGTCCACCTTATCACTGCTGATGAGGTCACGCCCAACTCGAACAACATCCCGCTCCCTCCTCAACCACCGACGATTGTGACGGACGACGCACAAGAGCCATCCCGTCCGCCTACTGCTACCAACAAGAACGTATTCTTGGACCTCTCGTCTCCCGTCACAGAGTCGGGAAGCAATCTTTCGCAGGGACAGCGGCAGCTATTGTGCCTTGCTCGCGCAATGCTCAAGAAGCCGAATCTGTTGGTGATGGACGAGGCTACAGCGTCGATCGATTACGCTACGGATACGGCGATCCAAGAGACGATTCGCGAGCTGACGAGCACGATCATCACGATTGCGCATCGCTTGCAGACAATCGCGGATTATGACAAGGTGCTGGTGTTGGACAAGGGCGAGATTGTCGAGTATGGACACCCCTGGGAGCTGATCAAGAAGACTGGGGGAAGCTTCAGGGCCATGTGTGAGACGAGCGGCGACTTTGATCATTTAGCAAAGATTGCCAAGAAGGCGTTCAAGAGCAAGCAGCTGGTTGATGTGGATGATGAGGAGGAGATTGCGGGTGTTGCGGTAGAGTCGGTGGTGACAGAGACAGCCGAAGCAACAACAGAGGCTGGCACGACAAAAACGACGCCTTCAGTCTGAGTAGGCAGATCGGGGTGTCCCTTTGGAGAATTTGTTCTCTGTAATATGGGAGGAGAGAATTTTGGTTTTCATTGCGTTGTGTATATATGTTATGTTTTATATTTTGGTCAGGGTTATGGTCATTCAGATAGCCATCGTCGCTCCAGCGGAAAACTTTGTTGAAGGGAGCTTGTTATTATGTTTCTTTGTTTGTTTCTAGTGTTTTAATTGGTCCTTATTGAAGTTTAGATCCCTGTTTCTAGCGACAACATACATAAGCATCTTGTTTTAGACAGATAGAATGATTGATTCATTGTTTCGAGGCTTTGATCGATTATCCTCTCTAAGGCTGCTTACTCCGCATGGCAGATTGACAGGAGTATAGACAGCGAGCTTGTTTATGATTATCTCTACATGTATTCGTCTTAATTAAGGTGTTTTGCAATGTAAACTCTTGAGGTATTGTGGTTGGCAGCTTGTGCGATGTTGCTACTCATGCTAAGAGAATCGGTCATTATTGCAAAGGCGCCAATTATAGAATGAATGAGTTAGTTGATGCGGCCTTGCAACTTTACATTGAACCCTGACTTCTAGTCATGTCTGTGTAGACAAATCGTGGTGCTAAGCAAATAGTTAAAAGGAATACTAGTAGACAAATGGCATCTACTATCATTACCGTACATATTCGTCCTACATGCACAGATCGATTATGCCATTACTATCAGGTTGTGTCTGGCTTATCTGTATTGTACGTGGCCAAAGTCCATCAATACATACCATTCAATATACCCGCAAGCAAAATCAAGGCCAACCGCGATGGCAAAATATAATCGCATGATCTGACCCGGGCTTGAACCGGAGACCTTCAGTGTGTTAGACTGACGTGATAACCAACTACACCATCGGACCATTGACTTTTAGATATTAGATATGGCTGGAAACTGGGTCCATAGAGATGTAGACCCCACTCTCCGCCAGCAACATAGGCAGGTTTTGGGTATAGTTGGACAAATATGGTAATGATTCAAGTCATGTTTTTATCAAAGCCTACAGTGAGTGAATATTGCTATAAAGTGGTTTAAACGTTTATGAATCCACACAAACTCGCTCACTCTGCCGCCCCTGGCTTTCCCGATTCATACTTTTTCGTCCACTTCTCGATAGATTCCCTCCGTCTCCTTGTACATTCTGTCCAGACATAACTGCGATGATTCAGAATACTATTCCTTATATTCCTCATACCGCAACTCCCACTCCTTCAGGGATTCCATAGCCCGCCACTTGGCGCACTCAAACTTTGCTTGGCCTTTGGCGTCATAGCGGAATGGCTCGGCCCTTTGAAGGGCAAAAATCAAGATGTCGAATTGCTCTATATGTTCTTCAAGAGTCCTTTGTCCATTCTGGTTGATGTAGGAATACATGGTGGCTTGGGCTTGAGATACTTCTGCTGATGGTCTGTTAGTAGCTGTGCATCTAGATGTTGAGATCAGCTGGGCTAGGTTTAGTCAGCGTACCAAGGAGTTCAAAGATGGTATTTGTGTGATCGAGTCCTGATCTGTCCGGATGACACTGATGTTCTTGTTGTGAGAGTATATACCAAGGATCTCAGGTGTTTTGTTTCGATGTACTAGTGTTCTCGCTTTGGGGCGTGGTTGATACTTTGCCAGGAAAAAAAGTGCCGCGGGGAACAGAAATATAAAGCACTTGCGGCGTGTTAAGGCTTAAGGGTGTTCACTGCAGACAAATCAAATACTAGCCGGCTGATGCAGTGGTTGCAAACATGTAAGAGCTATCGACCTAACAGGGCTGCCAAGCCAGCCTTTTACCGCCATGGGCCAATGCCCCTGCCATACGTTCGGTTTCATTGACAGCCTTGTTTATTTGTCTGTGTTTGTTTGTTTTTGTTTTTGTGGTGGCCGCACAACATCCAAGTTCAACCGGGTTAATACGCGGTGTTTTCATATCAACAAAAATAGCTGCGTGGCGCAAGTCTCCTCCCACCCATGCTCGGTGAACCGCTGATTGAGGAAGTTGAGCTACGCATAATATCACTATCACCAAGTCGCATCAGGCACCTGTAAGTGGCATCTATCCTCTGTTAATTAGTGTTACTCTAATTTCACGGAATACTAAAAGGAGTTGTGCGTTCACAGATAATCGATCACATGCACAAAGACTGTTTAAATGCTTCTCTTGACCTAAACATAGGGAAGGGATACTTATCAGCTTATGAACTTCACGGAAAGAGGTGAAGTGAAATTTCAGTTAATTAAGTTAAGCTATTATTACAAATAGAGTACTACAACTGACGAAAGCTAACAAGTTGGTGAGATGTTATCTTGTAGCTGAAATCGAACTATCTTGGGGGGACAGAGGAAGAAAATCGATGCTGCTCGAAAAAGAGTAGCAAAAAAGTCAAAAATTATGGGCGACCCCGGAATCGAACCGGGGTTTGTTCGGATTGAGGGGTTTAAGCCACAACGAACCGTCCTGACCACTAGACTAGTCACCCTCAGACATGTTTGGGGGCTTGATTTTATGGTTCAGATGGCGTGTGGAAGATTAGTGGGTCTCTCAGAGCCGCCACCACAAAGTCCGCAAAGGGACTTTTGACACATCAGGTTCACCTTTCACAGTCCCGGTGAACGAAATCCTAGAATGAAAACCTCAATTGTCTACTTATAGTCGCACTGATCGTTCAATATCATGATTTTGTGATGTTTGTTAACGGGTGATTGTTGACTTGCAGTGTTGATTGATATTTGTCTTATGACGTAAAAATGGGGGAAAGGTGGTATTCTATGACTGAGCGTGTCATTGTTGAACATTGAATCTGTTATAGTATCGACTTACCTTTTTGACATTCTATTCATTTGTTATGACTACGCTTGGTCTATATACTCCTCTCCCAACATTTAACACAAGATGTGGAACCCCATTGCACACACGCTGTGCCTATCCTGCCCTTATGTCTGATGCTGGTGAGGCACCATCACGGCCTTTCATCTAATCTCGACATGGGCGTCTAGGACTCCACAGCAATGAGTCTCGCTTTTGATTTTTGGGGGATATGACCCCTCTGCTGGCATTCACACCCGAACAGCTTGGCGGATATGTATATCTCTTTCTCTTCTTCCATAGCCGTACCAACTCTTTTCTGTCATTCCAATCGTGCGTGTACTACATCACTAACAAACGGCGATTGTATATCACCTAGGAACTGCCAACACACTCCTCAACTTGCCCATCTTGCGTCGACCCGGCGTCGCTCTTTCCGGCTTCTCTTTCCGGCTTCTCTTTCTTTAGTAATGTATCGCGGCCACAGAAAATCCCCGGCGACACCGCAATAGCCAAACTCGGCATTGAATTTTCTCCCATCAGCCTCTCATTATCATAGTGATGCATCTGTTTGGGTACAAACCGGCATTCGGGGCCCGGTCCATTCGTGCCACCCTCACAGAACCGACTCCTGCACCACCCCATCCATTTTGGTGTCGCCGACAGACACATCGAGCGTCAAGGACCAGAAATCGCATGCTAGCAAGACGTCGAGTACAATACGGGCCGGATTCACTGATCCTCCAGAGCAAAGGCCACCACAACCGATGGCGACATGGACGGAGGAACCGACAGACAACTGCAACTCCCTCATTGCTGGGCCTCCACCTCCACCGGTCCCGATCCTTTGCCACCCAACCTTCAAGCCGCGCAGTCTGGTAACCTTCACATCGATTAAGACAGTAGTCGCGACTACAATAATACAGAGCGCCCCAGCACCGTCGGCTCCAGCACCGTCGGCCCCAGCACCCGCCCCTCCACCGGTACCTGCGACTTCTGCGCCATATTCTGTCCAGTCCAGCGCAATAACTACCCATGCTGGCGGCAGCAGCAGCACGAGCACCAAGCCAAAGCCAACAATAACAATGACGGGCACTATTACCAACTGGGACGACCTCCCCACCCCCAGCGAGCCCGTCGCCACCGTCTCCCATACGACAACTATCATGTCTGGTTCCTCCTCCTCCACCCACAAATCATCATCATCCTCCTCTACCACCCATAAACCATCCTCCTCCACCACCACCCAAAAATCAACTTCATCGACGCACACCAGCACAGGCACTGCCAAGAGCAGCGCGACCTCTACGAGCACCGCCACCAAAGCAGGCACGGGTATGCACGCGGGAGTCAAGGTTGCTGCAATCTTTGGCTCCATCGCCGGCGCGATAGCTCTGTTCTTTGCGATTTGGTTCATCGCCATATGGTTGGTGAGAAAAAAGAGGGAGTCCGACAAGCTGGTGATGGAGGAGACGGATAGACGGAGGAGCGCGAGGGAGGAGGCTTTGAGGGAGAAGATACGACAGGGGCGTGAGCGGCTGGAGAAAGATTATGCGACGGCGGAGGCGAAGACCGGGTTCATCTGATTTTGATTTGGGTCGTAGGTGGGTAGGTACTGCATGTGGTGCTTCGTCCATGGTGGCTGGGCCGGCTGGTTGGTCATCTGGGAGGCGGGTTGGGCGCGATATAACATGAACAACTAGGCGTGAAAATGGTTTATTCGGTTTTGTGGTTGTTTGGCTGGCTTTTGTCACTTTCATTCTTTTCTTGTCGATACGTAGACTTCCCGTCTTTTTTGTCCTTTTTCTTCTTTGGCGGACTGTGGAGCACTGGATGGGGAAGGAGCGAGAGCGGGTGGAGTGGGATAGGCGAAATAGATCGATGGATTACATTCTACGTTACCAGATGGGCTTACTTTGAGTCTGATAATACCATTGTCATACATGCTGCTTTCGACTGGCTATGGTTCTTCGTACCGGAAAAGGGATCTACGCACCGGCGTGCGATACCCTGGGCTGTGAGAGGGTGAACGGTTGGTTGACATGAGAATCTGTTATTGGTCCATGGTGGCTGGTGCAAGGACTGGAGGGAAGCTTGTCCAATATAATTGCGCTCTTCGTCTGTCTCTAATTTCCCCCTCGTCATAGTGCCTGCCTGATGAGATTCAATCTTAACGCGGCATCGTTCCTTCCTTCGCTACCTGTTAATCATGAAAAGTACTCTGCGGCTTCTGGCTGTTAGTGAACCTTAAATTCTCCAGCCAAAATTTCTCCGGGGGGGGGCATTTCCTCTTTAACAGCTGTGCCTCGAAAGGTACTTACAAGGCTCTTGTGTTTCGTCTTTGTCTTCTTTGACCGGTGACGGCGAATCAAGGCCGGAATGCACGCAGATTGGTGATTCGCACCTTCGGTTTGCGGGTGTTCCCTTCCCGAGCCGACATTTTTTGTCGTCTTTGTCTCCTTCCCTTCTACGTTGTTCTCCGCCTGACTACTGCGGTACAGACAAATCGACCAATTGTCGGGGCCGAGTGCGGTTCCCTCGGCTTCTGCGGCTCTGTGAGTGGTCAAAATCTTGTGTCAGAATTCGTCCCGAGTCTTGACCTTGCGGGCATCTCGGTGCAGACAACAATGCCAAGGAATTGCAGGAGTTGGCAGTTGACATCATCGCTGCTTCACGAAGTTGCGATGAGATGACAGAAAACAGCCGCACCTGATCCAACCAGCTGCGACTGTCCTCCTGCCTCTCGATTGGAGCGACAATTTCCGGGCGTAGCTGTGCAATGAAGAGCTTCCTCCTTCGCCATGATGGATGTGGCGGTTGAGCAACGAGTCTCCCACGACAGTACCTAAGGTAACCACTGATTATCTTTCAGTGAGCAAGTGGGTAGGTTCCATTGTTTCTTTTCTTTGAATCATTACCTGCACAATAGCCACCCGCACAATAGGCAGGACTGCCAAGCCGGTCCAACAATGGCGACGAGTTGACGCATTCTTCAAGTTCATTATCCGTCCATTTCATACAAACCCATTGTTCCGCTTGAAATACCACCGCCCCGGGGCAAGAATACAAGTACTACTGACCAATCTCTCAGAATTTCTGTCCTATTTAAACGATTCACCAATCCTGATTTCCCCCAGTCTCACTTTTCCAGCACAGCGTCGGCTCATTTCTCGTACCTGCAGTCCTGCCTCCAAGTTGAAAGTAGATCTCCGCCTGTAATCAGCTCACCTGTCCTTACTCCAGCACACAAGCAAGTGAACAAACCAAACCCAGCCAGGCGCTAGTACTGTTCTTTTTTGAAAATTAAGTCGCCCACGACCGGAGCTCGATTCTGACGCACACTTCCATCACATGGTCACCACCTGCGGCCTATAAATCCAGCACCATACATGCCATTCATCTCACGGCAGTTACTGAACAGCCCCGACCTCTACGAACAGTGTAGCTATACTACCGGCGCCAGCAGCAGCCTGTCTATCTTTATCGTTACCGCTATCTGTCTGTTCACTCACCTAGCTATGATGGCGTTCGACATGCACAAGATGCGGCAGGTCCGCGAGCAGCACCAGCAGGAGAAATTCAGCTGCATCTGCCAGGATAATGCTATTGAGCCCACCTCAGCGGCCATGCTGGAAGAGCCCACACTCTCCTCCCCCGCGAACCCCAACTACACCTTCTATCTTTCGGACTCGGATTCGGACTCAGACTCAGAGTCTTACTGCTCCGATGAGTACGAAGAAGAGGATGACGGCTTCGACTTCAAGTGCATCGGCCTGCCACAGGACCACCTCCCCTCACGCCAGACAACCCAAAACGGGCATGATAGCATCCCTGCTGCTTCTGCCTCTACTTCTTCTCTTCGCAAGCGCCGACCGCCTCCACTCAACATGAACCTCGTGCGGGTCATGAAGACCAATGTGGCGGGAGTAGTGGCGCACCGCGGCTCTGCTCACAGCAACAACAACCCCCCGCAACATGGCAGCTTCGATCTCGGCTCCTATGAGATTTCGTCGTCGTCATCTATCAGGGAGTGCGCTGGCAGTGGTACAAAGCAGGATGAGGGCCTGGGACAGCTCTGCGGTGATTATAATGATCCCTTACAGATGATCCTGGAGTGGACAGAGATGAACCAGCATGCGTTCCTGGACAACGATGGACTGCCAAGTGTGGATTTCATGAAGCCGTTGGCCAGTTCGCCGGTGTTGGGCAAGCTTCAGTTCATCTAAGCGGTGCCTGGGGTGGAAAGAGGTGGTCTTGGAGAGAGAGAGAGGGGGAGAGGGATGATGTATTAGGTCTACTGGTAGAGTATTCTAGATGGTTGTTTGAAAATTCTCTTTGAGGGGAATTTGGAATACATTTTTACTTTTGTTGAGTGGCTGGAATTTGGATTTGGATTGCAACATATTTGTTGAGGCTCAGGCTAGCCGTTTATTCGATATGTGGCGGTTCAATGAAGGATGATGCACTTGAGTGGATGTGTAGGAGAGGGAGCTTACTAGAGCTGTTTCTATATCACGGCCATGGAGTAGATGAGTACTAGCTCACCGGTAAATCTTACTGCCAGGTTTTTATACCTATGATGTTATGCTTTTACTTCCTGTGACCAAATGTAACGCGTGATAATGTGTGATAAGAAGGTACTGAAAATTCAACGCTGCAGCTGGAATACTAGAA